TTGCATTCCTCCCAGTGACGCTGGAGATGCTTGGAATCGCAGCTTGTGCTCAGCTCCTCTTGCATTTCACTCTGCTGGAGAGCCTGGTTTTGGGTGCTACACTCTGCTGCTTGGGAGATGGCTTGGTCATTCCAAAGATGATCGAGATAAAGAGCCGGAAAGAGTTTGAGAACTCCCCGATGCCAAGGCTGGTCTTCACGGCAGCACCCTTGGAGGCGTCCTACGTGCTCACCATCTATGGGGTTCTCGCAGGGCTAGCTGTTTCAGAGCATCAGGAAGCGGCAGGGATTTGGACGATCGTCTTTGCCAATCTTCTAAGGATAGCTTCCACTTTGCTATTCGGCTCCATTGCCGGATACTGCGCGGGCGTATTCATCGTTAAAGGCCGCAATAGCGATGCCTGGCTTGGTTGCTCTTGGGCAGATTGGACAGGCTGGAAAGAGTTCTCCACAGCCATCTATGATGCATACGGATCATGGATGCCCATGGCTCCAAGGAAGCTTTTCAGGCGGACTCCTGTGGAGGCATACTTATTCATCCTGTGTGTTGCCCTTCTTGGCTTTGGTGTTGGCTCGATGACGGTAGCCTCTTTGGCCCCCATGATTGCCATCGGCCTTCGGTGATGGGGAGATGTTTCAGCCAGAGCTCCTCGTCATTGTGATAGGCTCCTCCTTCGCCTACGCCTGCGAGAAACACGACACGCCACCACCTGGAGAGGGTGGGGTGCTGGACAGTGTGCTAGACATTGTCGGTGGCGTTTGGACCTTCGGGCAGCTCGTTCTGTTCAGCATGTTGGGCAGTCGCCTCGATGTGACAGTGTTTCAGCAGGTCTTCCACGTCCTTCCCCTCATGGTGGTCGGGCAAGCATTCCGCTTTCTTGGGGTGGGGCTGTCGACCATTCTGGTGGTGAAGCTCGAGTGGCGCACCTGTGCAGGTGACCCACCTGATGAAGTCTGCAGGAAGTCTTTCCAAGCAACTGAATGGCCCGATGCGATGTTCTGCTTCTTGTCAGCGATGCCGAGGGCGACGATCCAGGGAGCCCTTGGGCCAGTTCCCCTGGTCAAGAAGTTCTTTCCGCTGGAGCCGGCTGCACGTGGCCAGGAGGTCCGGCTCTTCATCGCAGCAGCGGCGAGGCTCTACGTCCTGGTCTGCGCAGTTGCAGGCTCCATCCTGCTGGACGACTATGGCCCATGGTATCTAGAAGAGGCAAAGGATGAGGCGGGCCGAGCTAAACGCTGCAAAGCATGCCATGCAAGTGAAGTTGAGCAAGCACGGAAGTCCATCATGACCATTGCTGAGCAGAGCGAATCAGAGAACAGCGATGGATCTCAGGAGGAGGATCTGGAGGGTGGGCTGCAAGGGCCAGCAGGCACAGCAGAAGATGGACCAAAGGTCCAACCAAAACCGCGCAAGACTCGCGTAGCATTCCGTGACTAGGTACCGACTTGGATGAATTCTCAATCTCCTTTCTGCTTAACATAGATCCCGACCACAAGCAATGTTGGGGCTGTTGAAATCGACACCAAGGTCAGGAAGGTGAGGAATCCGACGAGCTGCCGGCTCCAAAGCGCCGAGCACGTAAGGCACAGACGGCAGCTGCAGGCTTAAAGGAGCCTTGGTTTTTTCGTTGAAGATGCAGGGATTACGGTAATTATAGGGTTAAGGGCTTCATTTGTCCATGCAATCAGAGCAAATCTCAGGAGCACATGGAGAACTGGACGTATTCGTCGTCGGAAGCTCGTAGGCGAACCCTTGCTGAGTCCATGGCAATTCCACGCCGGCGCCGGTCAAGTGTGTCGGGATCTCATCCATCTGACACTGGGTCTGTGAGTACTGTACTTGTTGTTTTTTGAGGGAATCTTGTGTCCCTACATGTAGGTTGCTTCCTTGTGTCATGCTAGGCATGTTCTTTGGGCGGCCAGACAGAGTACCTGGCCCAGAGACTCCACAAACCACTAAGGAAGAATGCTCCTGAAATCGTACCGAGGATCCTCCAGGTATATTCCTCAATTGATGAGTTTAGGAGTCTGGTTCAATCCTAAACCCTACACCCTGAACCCTTGCGAAACCCCGAAGCCCTTACCCAGCCAGTAAAAACCTGCAGACCTTGCCAGGCTTGTCCGAGTGTGAGTGTCAAAAATGCAGTCCCGTAAGCCCCGATTTGGAGTCTGCAAACCCTAAACGCTTCCTGAACTTTCTGAGCCCTAACCCTAGCCTATGCCCTATGCCCCATAATTTCGAAGCCCAAGATTCTAACTAGCTTGGCCAGCTTCCCCTGATTGTTGAAGCAATTCACGTATAGATTAGAGCCCCTGTGGAGCCTTCGTAGAAGATCCTTTAAGTACTTGGGTAGTTCTCTATCTTAGGGTCCCTTCTCATCATACGGCACCCTTCCCTAATTTTGAGTTTAGAGAATTATTCACTGCGCTGCGACGAACCCAGGACAACCGTGCGTCCCACACTTCCTTGCCTCGACGTGGAGTGCTGTTCCTTGGCCCTTGTTGCGCTAAGGAACTTTAATCGCAGTTAGTTACCATGTATGTATATGCGTGAAGGTTAGAAGTATCCAATCTAGCTGCTCCGGTCTTCTCTTTACAAGACAGTATATACAGTACGTGAACAATAATTTGCGGGGCAAATGGCATGTAGTTAGCAAGTGGCCGTGCCAGCCGTATATGATGTATCCTAAGTTACCGAAACAGGAGTACATGTCTCATAACTGCTAATATAGGCCAAGCTACCAGCAACACATGGTATTACATATTGTAACACGATATAGCACTGTATAACATTGTATAACAAAACCTACATATCGTATAATACAATACTACCGGCAAGTTAGAACCGCTAACTGTTGATGTAATCATGGTAAGCTTGCTCTTGTCCCGGTGCGGGTTTCCGGGCACCAAGACTCATCATGTTAGGAGAGGGCCGGTCCACCCCCCCCCCCTCCCCAGTGGTGTGAGTGCCGCAAGCGTAGGAAGATTACCAAGATGACCAAGATTACCAGGACCCCGCCGGCACGAAATTGCTGACAAATGCGCAAAGCAAGAGGACCAAGATCATGAATCATGTGTCATCTTGGTTCTAGCTTGACGGCTCACTGTAATTTCTATATAGTAGAATAAAACATAGTACAATACAAAGCATTGCAGTACAACATATTACTTATTATACAGTAAGATAAAAAATCCAACAGAATATGATATCTAATGCTTTGTTATGATATAATACAGTTCAATATAGTATAATCTAATGATACCTATATAGTATATTATAGTATACAACACTGTGCAAAATAACAAGACTTGGTTCAACATAATTTTGAACAGGATACCATAGTGCTATGCAGTTTAACATAACGCAGTATAACATAATATACATAGTATATTGTACCACAATAATTGTGATATAACATACTATAATGCAACTTGTATGTAAATGTTGTATTGTGTTATGTTGTAGAATAATGTATCATACACATGTTGTGTACCACTACATTTCCTTGTGTCTTATGTAGTTTTTCTGTTATGCTATATTCGAACCTACTATGTCATTCTCTCTGTTGTACGATATTTATATTCTGTCAAGGCTTTATTGCATTACATTATATTATGTTATGTTTTAGTACAGAAAATTTTTGTACCTATGACAGAACACTTTGTGTATGTGTATATGTATGTGTGTATATCGTTATATATAGTTGCATGTATGTGTGTGTGTGTGCGAGGGCACTACAACATTAAGCATATGCATTTATCTGCGGATTTATAAATACACACACATATATATATACATACATATATATATATATATGTATATATATATATATATGTATGGATGCATGTGTGGGTGTGTGTCAAAGTGTTTAAAGTACACCGAATGCTTTCCGCATTGGGAAGTGAAATAGGGTCACAAGCAGTTGCAAGTGTAGCTACCCTACTCATAACCCGAGTTACGAAGCCTAACCAAAGACGGGCCCCATAAAAGCCCTATGCAACCGCATACACACCTAAGATTAAGGAAGGTGCCTAAACGAACTGAACCCTCGACCCGGAACTGCCAACACCTAAGTGTAAGGAAGGCCCGTAGACCTTAAACCCCGGACCCTAAACCCTGTGAAGGAACTTAACTTTCCATCATAAGGAAGCTGTATTGTTTTCTATGAATCCCACTTCTGGCAACTTGAAACTAAGTTCCTTATCCCCAGACTATAGACACCTAAGTTCAAGGAAGGTCCCTGCTTGAACGAAGGTTCTCGATGGATGCTCCCCGGCCACCGGAGGACGACTATGAAGAGCACGCCGCCTGGTTCCTGTCGGATCGAGTTTGTGCTTGACCATTTGCAGATTAAGTTGGGGTAGACTAGATGTGGGTGCTAGCGGTGTTAGCGCGGCCGTTGGGCAAGGTTATTAAGTGGAACATCTACAAAATTTGTGTTCTTAAACGCATTAATGTTCTGCGATGACCATGTGTGGTTTTGTTGGCACCTCAGCAGCAGCCCAGGACACGGGAGCAGGCACAGGTGCAGACATAACTCAACTGCATCCAGCCTTGCTCGGCCCGAGGAGTCAGAGGCTGGGTTCTGGAGTACCATTCTTTACTAACTACAGTGCTATACTTACATCGTGATATATAGTTACAGCTACTTTTTTTCATGGTTTTTCTTTTCATTTGTTCCTCACAGCAACCAGTATGAGATGGACGTTTATACTTTCTCCCCCCTCGTTACTTCCAAGCCGAGGTACATTCCCGTTCCGCACGAATCCACCAGCCAGCTGTCCAGAGAGGCGACGCCGCTGGAAGGACCTGCCACACAGGGAGTTGCTCCGTGCTTCCTGAATGGCAACCTTTTCAGCTCTTCGTGATGCAGCGTCCAAACGCGCATAGGGAGTCTTGCGAAGTAATAATTTACTTGTATGTCTCATCTTATACGCAATTGTGTTATATGGTACTAGCTTATACAGTACCTAACGGCTGTTGGAGAAGTAAGGCTGCCTCGGGTCGTGGACAGGAAAGCGCCGGTGATCCGATGTCCGCGGATGTGGTGCAAGATGCACCCCATCAGTCGCACGGTGAAGATGCTACGCTGGATGGACCAAACTCAGTTGCCGATGTGCCCCAGACCCGCGACGAGCAGGATGGCGAAGCAGGGCATGAAGCAACTCCGGAAGAGGTGGTCCCAGAGAAGCCTCCAGACTCCGCACCCCCGCCTACAAGTTCGCCAGACTCCCCGGAGCAGGCTCCCGTCCCAGCTTCGGCCACCGAAGCGCAGGGCAGAACCCGACGAAGCGTGGCCGAGTGCGATGAGTTCGGGCAAGACTCCGCCCGAAGGGCGAGTATGCCCGTGCACGCCGAGGGCTCTGGAATAGGGGAGCTGAACACCCTAGATCAACCCTCGGTGGACAAGCCCAATGAGCCTTGAGAGTTTTCAGCTACGGATCGCTTATGTTGCTCTTAAAAGTCACGCCGCGGCTGCTTGCTTTTGTTGCTCCACTGTGGCATCTGCACCTACTCCCTCGTTACGCTTTGCCCTTCGTTCGCTTGCGGCACTTCAACCTGAAACGATGCAGGGCGCTTAATTCCGAGGCAGGGATTATGGCTGCCAACAATTGCTTATTGCTGCTAAGCACGACGAACTATTCGTACGGCCGCTGGGAGGCCGCAAAAATTTTCACGTGGGGGCATCACTAGTTCCTCCCCTGTTTCTTGCCTTTGTGTCGTCGAAAGCTGCCGGGAAGCTGTCGTGCTGAATTCGGTTTTTGCTCTCAAGCATTTTCAGAATTTTCCGAAAATCAGATCTTGAGAGTTTTTCGCTTCAAGCGCTGCGAAGTTTTCGAGGCGGGGACTTCTAGCAAACTCTTAAGCAAGAAATGTCCTGTAGACTCTCCTACACTGGTCCTACACCGGTCCTACACTGTATCGAACATGCGTGATGCACACCATCAAGCAATGGAGGACACAAAGCACCCTGCAATGTGCGCCCCCATTTAAAGCTTCAGGTCTTCAACAGTGCATATCAACTGGTCGTGATGACGGGATCCGAACACTGAGCGGAGAGTTCCACAACGCCCATCGGCCATGTTCGTTGATACACTACAAAATTGCTACATGTACTACTACTTCCTAGCACTGCCACTGCCGCTACCACTACCGCGACGACGACAACTTTGCTTTTGCTGTTTGCTACTAGACGACTTCTCCTCCGCCTCCTCCTCAAACTGCTACTGCTACTGCTAACTACTGCTGCTGCCACCCCACAGGTACCAAATGCCATGGCCAGTTCTTGCTACTGCCACAAGTCCATGTCCTCTCGCGCAGGACCTGGGCCGTGATGCCAAAGACCAGCTCATGGGAGAAAAAGACCTGCAGTCAAGGTTTAAGTTCTTGGGTTCAAACGATTTTAGGGTTTCGCTTAAGGGGTTTAGGGTGTGGATGAGGTTTGGGTTTAGAGTGGCTTCTCGTAGAAAGCTTGGCAGGATGGACTACTGTCCTTTATGCGTATGCAGGCTAGTACACACAGATCTCTCGCTCCCACTGTCTGTACATATGCGTATATAATATACTATACTATACTCTATTATATTATATTATATTACGTATATTCTGTTCGTATATGTACAACGCGCACATGTACATTTTTATTTTTTGTGTACATGTGTACATGAAAGTCTCGTTCGATGGGGGAAATAGCCCGCCCAGGCAAAGTAACAAAGTGCAACCATAAACACATTATCCACTCGTTGTAGTGGCTTTACAGCTGCGTTCTAGGCATAACCCTGCGTAGCCACACTACATATAAGCCCCAGCCTCTTTCTAAGTCATGAACCCTAAACCCTCAACCCCC